CACGCATGTCTTGTGCTTGTGGCAGAAGTGTATAAATAAAGTACGACGCTCTTGCTCTTGGCCTTTGGTCCACAGGGCTATCTGCATGCTGTGTGCTGATTATTTCATTAAAAGACCCACTCTGTCTGATGGAAGAAGCCTGTCTCCAACTTTGTTTTTAAAACAACTCAACCCTCAACGGGGGGCCTGGGGTGGATGCTCAAGTGAACTATTGGTTTTCCTGCATCAGAAATGTGGGGTGGGGTGTGAGAGCATGGGAAGATGGTGAAATGTGTCTCATGCTCAATGCGTGAGAGTTAGCAGCCCTGCCATGTTAAATAATTCACACATTAACAGCTGCTCAAAAGACAGAAAATAATTTCATCACAAATATTGACTCAACTGCTGCAACAGACAAGACAGCCTGAGTTTGGCTCACGAGACACCTAAATAAACTACAAGGGTCCATTTATTATATCGGAGTTCATTTTCTTCAGAAAGCTCAGACAAACCTGGAAACCTGACCAGAACAACGCAGTCTGCTCTCACCGAACTCTTGGTTAACAGGTGTTGTGTTCTGGCCACCAGGGGTCAGTAGAGGAGCAGCCGAAGACAGAGAGAAGAAGAGACAGCCTGCCATTGCTGCATGTGCTTGTGCTAGCTGAGTGCTGCTGTAATAAAGTTAAGATTAAAAGTACAACAAATTGCCTGCTCCTTACGACCACTCGCAAACATGACAGTTGGCGACGAGGATAAAAGAGGACGTTCTACATTGACGGGGGGATCTACAAGAAGACGACATCTCCCCCCTGCTTTTCTTCAGTGTCCAGGAGAACCTAGCATGCAGCTCGACATGTGGGAGAAAATATTCAGTAATGACTTGCTGTTGGGACAGAATGTCAGATGTTGTTTTACATGCTCCCAGACCAAGGCACGTCTATAGAAGACCCCATTATGGCTCTGAAGGATCACTTTAACCCTAAAAAGAACACTGTCGTTGAGCGCCACGTTTTTAGAAAACATGTGCAAGCTCAGGCAGTATGTGGCAGTTTTAAGAGATTTAGCTACAACACGTGGCTTTGAAGATAAACAGCATGAGATGATCTGGGACCAGCTTGTTGAACATGGATGTAGTCAGCGCATATGTGAACAACTGCTGCTGGAAGCCAAATTCCACTACCTCCGCTCCACTCCACTCCCGCCTTCCGCAGCCGCTCACTTCCGAACTCAATTTTTACTGGTACCCGCTCTACAACGGCTCCACTCCGGTGCGGAGACCTGAGGTGCGCAAACAAGCATGCGCAGGATTTTCGAGATCTTGCGATACAGTCCGAGCAATAAACGCGGAAGTTATATCCAAACACCCGTTGTGTGGGAGAAGCATCGGCATGAACTGTTTAATCTGCCCATCATTTGTGTTGAGAGATCAGCAGTGTTTGGATCAACAAAGTGTGACTACTTTGATAGTGGAAACTGTATTTATGGCTTACTTTTGTGCATTTAAAGTTCAGCCGCCATTGATAGTTGTTAAAAGTTGTTAAACCTGTGCATATGAAACATAAAATGCTTTTTGTTAATCGATTTATTGTGAAATAACGGAAGCTGTGCTTGCTCCTTTTCCTGTTGGGCGGTTGTGATTCCTGTCCATTGACTGGGTGAGGTGCTCCGGCGTCCGGCAAAAATAGGATCGAT